GATCTTGTATGTATTTGTATATTTGCCAATGTATCTTGTATATTTGCCGATGTATTTTGTATACCTGCAAAATTATGGATGTTATGATTGAACTCTCAGCCTCAATAGAGTCCGTCAGTTTCGCCCTTTCTTTCAAACGCAGACCCACGATATGTATCAACATATTTTTTTCGATGGCATATAGGATTCCAGGACAACGAGCGAATAGGTAAGACCTAGTAATAAATACTACCAGATTCCCAAAAGTGGAGACAAAATGACGAAAACTTATGTAGTGTAGTAGTCCGAATTATCAATGCGCATTAGGAAGGACCATCAAGTTACGACTCGGAGAACAGAACAACCATCCATTTCCAGCGATTAGGAATCCTGACCTGCCTGCTTGCATACGGAATTCGTGGGGCAGTTGGTCTGTGCAGTGTTTTGCAGACTCCCAGTCTGAAGTTAGAGCAGGGATGAGTATATGGTGCAGAGTAGGCGAAATGTGTGCACTTACGAAGTCCCAAGTGCAGGCACCGTTGGGATATGCGCACTGGTAGCCGGTGAACTGGTTGATGAGTACACCAGCGTCACCGTTATTGTCGCTAGGGCAGCTGCAGCCACCAGTCTGACTGCAAGCATGACTGGAAGGACAGTTGGTCTGGAAGATATTCTGGAGAGCACCGGTCTGAGAAACATAATTTAGTATTGCTGAGTACTTTGAATGGATATCACCGTTTGAATATTTACCTTGTCGTCCCAGGTACAAGCACCGTTGGGGTACGCACATTGGTACCCAGGGTAGACGTTGATGAGCACTCCGCTGTCACCGTTCAGATCGCTGGGGCATTCGCAGTCACCGCCACCTCCGTAGCAGGAGAAAGCGATGGTCTGGCCCGTAAGGCTGCGGGTGTTAATAGACGGAGCCCCAAAGAATTCATGAGCGGGGGAGCGGGAGGCGTGTGTACGAGCTTCCGCGAGGACAATGAAAGCGGCGGCAGAGATGAGGATGGCGAGACGGGAAAACATGTTGAAAGATTAGACTTGAAAAAAGGTCTAGAGTAGTGTAAAATGAGTTCTGTGGAGGAGAGGGTGAGAGGAAAGGATGAAGGTTGAAGGTTGATGACTTTACTAGGGGATTCGGATGGGTTTTTATATCTAGACCTTGTTGTCCAGAACATTGTCGGAACTATTCCTAGGAATCATTAGGACAGCCATGATTACTGTGGTAGAAGATGTGCGGGAGCTAGACCACGGTGTCCAATTGACACCGTATAGGTCAGGACGTGCTGGAATGCATCTGTAGCCCAATGCATGGTGAAGCAGGCACGGAGAAGTGTCATACTTGATGCGTCTGACAACCTGGAACAATACAATCTTTGCATCAGTGGGCAGTTTTCTGTCAACTCCGACGGTGAGTATGCAGGCATGTTGAGCACTTACAGTCAAATTTTGCAGATGCTAGTGAGTGCCGCTAATTGGGGCTTCTTCCTCCAAAAATTTCGGCCGGCACTTGCAAGCACTTCGCACAACACAACCTCTGTAATAGTAGGGGATCACCGTTGTTTCAGCATGTTAAAATCAGACGATGAACAATGCCTATCTTTCAAGTGTCTCTGGCATCATTGCCGGTGAAGGATATCAGAACGAAGACTCTCACGTCCTCAGCCGTCGTGGCACTGACTGTATTTATGTAAGTAAGAATACTTGGCAAATCTGTCGCACTCATGACTTCGAACAGTTTCAATCTGACCCAGTATTGCTGTGCCTTGAGCTTCTATCAGCGCCTGACAAACGCCTCTGGGAATATTGTCCGGTTGCCCAAAAAAATAAACGAACAAAGATTGAAGAACTCCTGAATCTTTTTTGTTTTCGTTTATCGTCCCCAAAGTTCTCAAGGTGGAGGAGCTTACCCGTAAGTAGCTTACATGCTCGCCAGTACTCGGTAGTAAAGGTCAAGCTTGAGCGCTTGACTATCAGAGCGCTTAGAGTAATGAAGTACGAGCACGTGACTGACATCCACGTGTCGTTATCGCTTCCCGAAGGGCGCACGGCGGCGGCAAGGTGCTGCAGACCGAGTCACCCCTTTCACCCCTACCACCATCTCGATGGATTCACCGACCTCAACATTGCGACCTATTTCTACTAGATATGTTACAGGTAGCTCTAGTTGTACCCTGTTAGCTGTCTTCGATGTTAAGATCCCTTCATAGGATTCGCTTTACATGTCGACCAGTACAACGACCAAGATCCGCAGATTCTGACATTCTTCAAGTCCTTTTCAAACGTAGTTACCGTCGGCCGCAAACCGACACGATTCACCAAAGAAATCGATGCAGACAATGCGAGAGCTTTCTTTCGATGTGCGGTGATCAGCCGCAGACATGCGAAGATCACATTTGCGGACTTTGGAAATGTATGCCTGGATATTCTTGGGTATATGCATACAATTATACTCATTTTATGCTACAGGTCTATATCGCTGATCTGGGCTCTCATCATGGTACCCACATTCTGCGACCCGGTGATACAGTATCACGGATGATATCTCCTGACGTCCCAAACGTGCTCGCAGACGGCGACATAATCACCTTCGGCAAGACCGTAGGTCGAGAAGATACACTCGTTCGCCCGGTCACAGCTCGTGTTCGACTCATCTTCGGATCATCGCTGTCTCGTTGCCCATCTCCTGTCGCGGCCACGACCACTGCTACATCTACGAAATCGCCCACTTCTGGTGGCCGGTACGGCGTATATATGCAGTCTTGCGGAAGCTCGGAGCGCTCGTCGTCTTCATCTTCTGAATCAGATAGCGATTCTGACATCGAGGAGATTCCACGCCCTCCTACTCTTCTCAATGCGTCTCGCTGCGCTTCCGGCCGGTTTGGGTTGTTACGGCAGTTGTTGCCACCCATCCACACGTCGGAGGTATCGCCTTCGTCGCAAGGGTCGATACACAATTCTCCTATCTGCGTTTCTTCGTCTTCTCCCACTCCTGAAGTTGTTGAGGTGAATGTAATCAACGACTCTCGCGAGCCCAGCGTGATCGGTGCTTGGCCAGATATCACTTCTCATTCCAGGTCGCCTTCCAGAACTTCATCGCCTGTCGTCCTCTCCAGAGGCTGTTTGGTCCATGAGTCGGGTTATTTCACTCCTATGGCGCTTGAACTGGATGATAAAGACAGAGATGGGAGCCTTGATTCGTTTGTGGTATCCAGGGCATCATCCATAGCTCCCGTCGATGCAATGTCTTCTGAGCCAGTACAACCTCGTGAGGACTTTACAGCGGTCCCTGATATCATCTACAACGCTGAAATTCCTGACCCTTTCGATCAACCCGGGTCATTGATGCAAGAAGAAGGCTTTGTTATCTCCGAATGCACCTCACATTCACAGGATCCACTCGCAGAGCAAGCCCTTATTGGCAGTACGAGAAGCCCCTTGCATTCACTGGATCCACTCGTAGAGCAAGTCCTCATTGGCAGTACGAGCAGCCAATCTGCTGATCTGTTCGATACGAGGATGGAGAGTCTGAAGGCAAGACTAGCCGATCTTGAGAAGCAATTTGTCCAAAGGACTGAAGACCCGCAGTTATATATGCCTGCTGCTGCTACAGACACTGGGACACCCATGTCTCAGCACGATGCTGAAGACCCCGTCAACATGCAACTAGCTGTTTCTTCTGCGGTTACAAAGTTGAAGGATATGTTGGCAGGTAAGTCTAATCATGTCTGCATAACTCGTTCTTGTTTCCGGTGAACATTAAATTTTCGTCGTCTGTCATTTTGTGCCGGGTTTCCTTCCTCTTTCGCTCCTCCTCGTTTATCCAGGAATGGAAGATCTTCGCAAGAAGACGGACGCGGAGGTTGCGCAAGAGCTGGAAGCTATCCGAGCTGCCCGCGCTGAAGCAGAGGCAGCTGCTGCTGAAGCGAAAGCGAAAGCTGTATCAATCAAGCCTTCCGAGATCGTTGCCCCTACATTCACTGACATGGTACGTATAAAACTGTATCTCCCTCGCGTTTGCGAGGCTTACACTGCGCAGAGCGCACTCGTTCCTACATTGAAACGCAAGCGATGTGAGCTGGATGATGGATTCGACAACGACCATTGTCCCTCACCCCCCGTCTCCGCTCAAGCCATCGCGCTGCCGGTCGTAGAGGGGAAGAGTTGCTGTGGTAGTTTCAGCCCTTTGACTCCCCCTACCAAACGTAGACGGACTGTGCGCATCTTGCAGGGTATCGCGAAGACCACGGCGATCGCTTCCGTCGGTGCTGTCGCGGCGTGGTCTGCCCTAGCTTTCAGTTAAATGTTGCCTGGACAATTCTACCCCGCACCTTTGGGGGGATATGAGCGTCACCTGTCCAAGGACTGGTAGTTATTATGTACTGTAGCAAGATGTGGAGGTCTACCCTGGAAGGTTTCGCATAACAGCACTTCATTGTACTTTATTGTTGGGAAATACAACTCTGTCTGGAACCGTATCATCTGGAAATTCTAGATCTACGACTCTTGAGTGGAATATTATGGGCGCAAACGAGGCTACAACCCTTTATAGAGTTACGACCCTTTACGTTGACCTGTATCTACGAAGGCTGTGTAATTTGGTGAAAACTATTTATAAAGAGTTTTTACAGGGCGTTATGAAGCATGCCCTGCATGTCGGAATGTGCAGCAATATCACCGTACACACTGGCAGCTTAGCAGTGACTTGAGCCGTACTCATCGCTAATCGTAGCGGCTGAGTCGGGAAAACGGACGTTTATGGATGGAATGTGCTCGCAGAGTTGCATCCACTCCAGGCCTCTAACTTGAGAGACATTTTGGAATTCCAGTGGATAGATTTCGGAAACAACTTCAGCAACTTTACAACGTGAGAATATTTCTGTATATGCTTCACCCTCCAGTTCAAAAATACTATATTAGTTCTCAAATGACCGTTTGCTCTTTATTAAATGTTTAGCACCCTTCCCCTTCATTTACGGCAGCAGTGTATGCCAGGAACTAAGGAGTCGAAAAAACTATGCCAAGAGCGTGAATCGAACACGCGGCCTTCAGAATATTAAGCGCCCAAATGATGGAGTACTTCAGTCTGCTGCTCTCCCAGCTGAGCTATCCCGGCGATAGAATGATAGAGACTTATTATTGCTATCACTATTGAGCTTCAGATTGCTTTTGCAATATCGGCGCCTGACTTCCACGTGCGGCTTCGAAATTGTTGCTCGTCGAAGAGAAGTGGACGACGAGGAGTCCGACGCAGGGGATGTTTCCACTTCCCGCATGTCTACGGGTGACAAGCCCGCAGTGCTCCCGGTTAGCTACGTATGGTTCTGGACGTCTGCCATGCCTCTCAGCACCTCGCAGGAACGCCTCCGCCGCCGTTCATAGGTCCAAGGCCAGCAGCGAACCGGCAGTCGCACCGACTTATGCACTGACGGATCAGGACCATCTACGTCTCAGGTTCCAGCGTAATATCGGTGTATCTGCCCATATCGACTCCGGGAAGACCACGCTCACGGAACGTATTCTCTTCTATACCGGTCGCATTGGAGCTATTCATGAAGTGAGTAGATACCTTCCCAGTGTTAAACACACCGACTCTGAACAGAGCCGATTTTTCATTTGTCTTAGGTCCGAGGGCGTGACAATGTTGGAGCAAAGATGGACAGCATGGAGCTTGAGCGGGAAAAGGGCATCACTATCCAAAGTGCAGCGACCTTTTGCGACTGGGAAGCGACATTGCCCACCGGCGAAAAGGAAAAATACGCGATCAACATCATCGATACACCCGGACACGTTGACTTTACGATCGAGGTAGAACGCGCTCTGCGGGTACTGGACGGCGCCATTCTGGTCTTGTGTGCCGTCGCTGGTGTGCAGAGTCAGACAACTACAGTGGACAGGCAAATGCGGCGGTACGACGTTCCCAGAATATCCTTCATAAACAAGATGGATCGGTGAGTTTTGTACAGTTTTCTTTTGGATTTTATTCGAGGCTAACTCGACGACTAATGTAGACCCGGTGCCAACCCTTGGCGAGTCATTAATCAGATCAGGACAAAGCTCAGAATCTCTGCAGCCGCAGTGCAGGTTCCCATCGGCGCGGAAGACCAACTTTCCGGTGTGGTTGATCTCGTAAAATGGAAGGCTATTTACAACAAGGGCGAGAAAGGGTGAGCTTGCACACCGCGCCTTGTAGGCAGGAGTGGCTGACAGACGGACCAGTACTGAGGTTGTAGAGTCGGACGAGATCCCTGCCGAGGTACTCGAACTCGCAAAGGAGAAACGCCGCGAGTTAATCGAGCAGCTTGCGGATGTGGACGAAATCATGGGTGATATGGTCATCATGGAGGAGGACCCCACGACGGAACAACTATCGCAGGCGATTCGCCGCGCAACTGTGGGGCTAAAATTCTCTCCGGTTTTCCTCGGTTCAGCAATCAAGAACACTGCCGTCCAGCCTCTCCTGGACGGTGTCTGCACGTACCTACCCACACCCTCCGAGTCCCTGGTAACTGCCCATGACACCAACTTGCCGGCTACTTCTCCACCTATACCTTTGACTCCGGCCGCTGCTGCGCCTCTCGTCGCGCTGGCGTTCAAACTGGAGGAAGGCCGTTTCGGTCAGTTGACGTACATGCGTGTGTACCAAGGCAGTATGAAAAAGGGACAGTTCATCCATCATGCACGATCCGGTAAACGGGTCAAAGTTCCCCGTTTGGTCCGTATGCACAGTAACGAAATGGAGGTAAACATGATGTGGAGCATCCAGTTTGAACGTGCATTGATTGTGTCCTTTCTTCAGGATATCGATTCGATTGGTCCCGGTGAAATTTGTGCCATCTTTGGTGTGGAATGTGCCTCTGGTGATACTTTCACTGACGGATCTACGTCCTTCTCCATGGTACGTCTTGATTATATCGTAATACAAGCTTTATCGCTTACGTTACATTGACCCCCCAGACATCCATGTTTGTCCCCGAGCCCGTCATTTCTCTGTCCCTGAAGCCCGTTGGACTCGAGACCCCGAACTTTTCTCGTGCACTGAGCCGTTTCAGAAGGGAAGACCCCACGTTCCGCGTGCACGTCGACAACGAAAGCAAGGAGGTATAGTCTTCTCCGGTTCTTGCACTTTGAATCCCGGCTTCTCACCCAGAATCCAGACGATTATTTCAGGTATGGGTGAACTGCACCTGGAAATTTACGTCGAGCGTATGCGCCGTGAATACAAAGTCGAGTGCGTGACCAGCAAGCCCCGTGTCGCGTTCCGGGAAACGATCGGCAAGCGCGTCGATTTCCACTACACTCACAAGAAGCAGACTGGCGGTGCTGGTCAATACGGTCGTGTCATTGGATATATCGAGCCGATGGAGATGGACCCGGAAACCGGCAAGGACGTTCAATTCGAAAGCTTCGTTATGGGAGGTACTATTCCTGAGAGTTACATCCCTGCCGTCGAGAAGGCAAGCATACTAGACCTGCGCTTATACCATGAACGCAGTTGGCTGACTATAATCGGCCGTCCTAGGGTTTCTACGAGGCGATTGAAAAGGGCTCGTTGTCCGGTAATCAGGTCTGCAGAGTTCGCTTCGTCCTCACGGACGGTCTCGCACACGCCGTCGATTCCTCAGAATTGGCTTTCCGTCTCGCCGCCATCGGAGCTTTCCGTGAGGCGTTCGCCAAGGCTCAGCCAATGATTTTGGAGCCCATTATGACCGTCGAAGCCGTTGCACCGTCAGAATTCCAAAGTATGTTTCTGCTCCGTCCTTCGATCTTTGAAATGCATAACGAACCGCTTCCCAGGCGCCGTCATCGGCGGCCTCAACCAACGTCGGGGTACCATCATCGATAGCGAAGTGCGTGAAGAAGAGTTCACCGCCGTCGCGGAGGTCCCTTTGAACGACATGTTTGGATATTCAAACAGCCTCAGGGGTGCTACCCAAGGGAAAGGTATGTGCCAAGGTTACGCTACTTGTTGACTTCTCTCACATTATATTTCATAAATCAGGTGAATTCAGCATGGAGTACAAGGTACGGCAGCCATCTTCCTTGCCACATTACATGCGTATCCTTAATTCTTTGTTCACAGCATCACATGCCCGCACTGCCTAGTCTACAAAAAGAGATTGAAGAAGCTTATAGAAAGACGCTTCCTCAAGCTAAAAAGTAGAGGTATTCTACTACAGCTTATACTATCCCACGTGTAATATCTAGACGGTATTGTTTTCGACGCATTTGTATCTCGCATGTTCTCCTCACCACTTATGCTATGTGTAACGACGCCTATTAATGGGCTACCTTGGATTACTCGGATTGCAAGGCAAATTACCAGAATCTATGCATGCAAGAGTCGTATTTATAGCATAAGAAGGTAAGTCTCAGTTCTCTTGTGACCGAAATTGCTATTCATCCAGTTGGATGACTATTGGCTGCAGGATTTTTGCTCTTGGAATAACGATTGTTCTACGCATACGTGGAACAATTTTTTATCGAACGGGTATTCACACCCACCCTTGTGTTGTTCGTTCCTGGCTTGTGCTCCGACGCTGGCAGCTCAAACAGCGTGTGACTCGCCTGCTGAATTGCGAGGCTCACCAAGTGAAATAATCAATACATCGGGTGTTTTCCAGACGATTGAACTGTACGTGTACGGTGTTGATGTCCGTCAGGCATCCACCCAGGCGCTGTCTCGGTTAATAACCCGCTGGTTGAGGTACTTGCCCTTTGCGATTCTGTGGTCAGTTAAATTTCCTTTTCCAGAGATTTGTCCGAACCGGGAGCTACTCTGCAGCCAGGATGCCCGAGGTATAAGAAGGCCCCAAGTCTGGCGACAAACATACCTGTTTTGTTGTCCTGTATCCCAACATTAACATGTTTGCGCGCGCCGCTCATTCTAATTTGCATTGGTGCAGTGGCGGCACTCTCCTTTATTGCCGAGGTCAATCTCTTTCCGTTCCCTCCAGGAGGCGCACCGCCCATCGGTCCTTACTGGTTCTTTGGGCCACTCATCCATCGCTGGGCCCAGCATTGCTTTCTCTTGCTACGGTGGTGGCGGCAACTGCGAATGTCCACTCGATAAATTCCGTAATCACGGTGTTTTGATAAACGTCTACCCAGAATATTAGTGCGCATACCCTGCTGGGGCGTGTGCATGGGATGACACAGTGAGTTGCCAAATAAACTTTGATTTTTAATTCTAGCGGTGCTAAGATGCTCCTCGGGTCCGTAGACCGGCGTGCTGCAGAATACAGCTCAGACCAATTGACCTTCTACCGCTGGGTGCAGCGCTGCCGCAGGTTGCACTTGTCCTAAAGATCATAACGGAGACATGGGGTGCTTATTAATCAATTCACGGGCTACCAATGCGCCTATCCTCATGGTGCTTGTACTTGGGACTCTGTATGTGATCCTACGGTTGCCTAAAGTCGAAACACTGACAGTATTCCCCTCGGACAGGACGGCACGTTACAGAACATTCATCAGACCAATTGCGTTACGTCTGCTAAATGCAAGCAATCCGGTAAAGAATCATAATGCGCGCATACCGCATTCAATCTTTAGGGATTGCTCGTCTGGGGGAAAGAAACGTACACATGATGTAACTCATTGAATGTCTTTTACAGACGGGTCGAGGTTGGCAGATGATGGACTCGAGCCAGAGTGGGATCCAAATGCTGCCGACTGATATAATGATATTTGGGCCTGGACATTAATTTACCAAGGCTGTTCTTCTTTTATTCTTCCGCCTTGTGTCGTATCATTACTCATTGTTTGTATTCAGGCTTGGAATGGGGAAAGGCATCTGATATGAAAGATATTTCAAGTTCCAGCGCGCCTCGGATCTGGTTTGTGACGTGACTCAAGCTGTCACAGACCGTAACAATCAGAGCGAGGATCACGGCTTGAAGTAGCCTCTTGCGCACTTCCACCTTCGATTTGATGCTCCAACGTCGCATTCGCGTACCAGGTATGCAGCTTGCGAGTCGTCCCTCGGAGCTTTCAAACGCTACATCACTCGGCTTGTACAGCATTCAGCTCTAAATCGGAGTGCAAATGTGTTTGTGAATGATTCCCATCTTCGGTCCAAGCTTCACGGGTGCTTCCGCAAGATTCCGGAAAGCG